GCAAAGAGTTAAACAGCAGGATCATAATTCTTGGGGACTTCAATACTTCAGAAGACTTCAATACCTGACAGAACTGGACAGATCATTTCAAGCAGAAAATAAAGAAACACTGGACTTAAGTAGGACTCTAGAATAAATAGACCTAACCACCATTTTAAAAACATTTTAACCAAAAACTACTGATTATACATTCTTCTCATCAGCACATGGAACATTTTCCAAGATTAATTACATTTTAGGCCACAAATTGTGGCTCACCAAATTCATACCATGTATCTTCTCAGATCACAGTGAAATCAACACCAAGAGAAACAACCAACTTTACACAAAGCCATGGAAATTAAACAACCTCGCACTGAATGATTATTGGATCAATGATGAAATTAAGATGGAAATCAAAAAATTCCTTGAACTGAATGACAAAGGGCACACAATCTATGAGATTCAGCAAAAGCAGTCCTAAAGAGAAAAGTCATAGCTTTAAATGCATACATCAAAAAAACAGAAATATCACAAATCAACCATCTAATAACATGTTGCAAGGAACTACTAAAGGAAAAGCAAACCAAACCCATAGCCAGCAGAAAAAAAGAAATAACTAAGATCAAAGCAGAACTCAATAAAATCTAAAACAAGTAAATAATACAGATGATCAAGGAAACAAAAAGTTGGTCTTTGAAAATATAAACAAGCCCTCTTGCTAGAGTAGAGCTTTCAATTGAAATTTTAAACAAATGGGATAAGATCCTGATGCATTTCTTCAAAGAACTATAAAAGGAGATGAAGCATGACTTTACCAGTATGATCCTGAAGACAAAGCACCACCAAAGCAATGGCTTCCAAAAGGTGAAAGTGGTCCAGGCATACAAAATTGGATCAATCAAGAAGAAAACTCATGGCAACAGTTTTTTGGGTATGTTCAAGACATTTTGCTCGTTAACTTTCTGGAGGGCCAAAGAATGATAATATCTGCTTGTTATGAGAGTATTTGAGAAGGTTAGCCAAAGCTTTAGCAGAAAAATGTCTGGGGAAGTTTCATCATAGAGACCTTCTCCACCACAACAATCTTCCTGCTCATTCATCTCATCAAACAAGGGCAATTGTGCAAAAGTTTTGATGGGAAATCATTGGACATATATCTTACAGTCTGGACTTGACTCCTGACATTGTTTTGTTTCTTAGCCTTAAAAAAATCTTTAAAGGACACACATTTTTCTTCAGTTAAAAATGTAAGAAAGACTGCATTGACATAGTTAAATTCCCAGGACCCTTTGTTCTTTAGAGACGGACTAAATGGCTGGTATCATATCTCACAGATGTGTTTTGAGCTTGATGGAGATTATGTCAAGGAATAAAGTTTATACTTTTTATTTTTACCTTTTAATTTCCTCTTTCCATGAACTTTTTGAAGTTTCCTTATAATTTCATTTCCTCCCTCACCACTCATTTTTTCCCTTCCTTCTTGAAGAGGAAACATCTGGAACAATTTTACTTCCTTATTCCCTTCCCTACCCATTCACAATTCAAACCTGAACCTCTATGTCATGTAGAGATAGTTACATATTTTTAATTCAATATGGTTATTAAATTTCTTTTGCTGAATATCCTTTCTTTTTAAAGAATCATGATTTAGCAGGTATATTACATATTCCCAGTTAATTTATCCATTTGCATGTAACAGTATATCATAAGTTTTATTGATCCCAGCTATTCCCTCTTCTTTATCCTCCTCTATTTTGAGCACTCCCTTTTGTTCATCATATTAGAGCTCTTAAGTACTTCCCACAGAAGTAGTATACATGTATATTGGTGATATTCCTGGTTATCTTATATATCTTCAAATATGTTTCATCCTCACATATGAATAATAAAATTTTTGGAGGGTAAACAATTTTACTGAAATATGAAATTTTCCAGAGTTAGGATTCAAAAACTGGGTATATTTGACTCAAAAGTTTAAGCTCTTAACATAATGCTATATTCCACTTTTAATCTCTCTGTTATTACCTTTAATAATCAGTTATAAATTTGTGTAAAATAGAAATTAAATGTCATCAAAATAATAATACACAAAAAATGTAAACAAAAACTTGAGATTGCCTAGTAAATAATTCATTGAAATATTACTTTAGTCTTTATAGTGTTATTTGAATAAAGAGACATTGGATTTTCCTAGATTTAACTGTAAAATTTAAATGATATCAATTCTTTCTTACATTAAGACAATCACTTAAATGTAGATACTTAATGCTCTTAGGTCAATTATTAAAGATAACTCCCTTTACTTGTATTCGTTATTTATCTTTAATTATGTTTTATTTTCCATATTTTTAAAGCAAACATCGGTAAAAGATTCTACGATACCTAAAAAGTCACAATAAAATAGGTGTATCAGCCGGAACTCATAACTCATATCATAATCCAAAATTATTTCACAAGGATTAAAGTGTCAAATGACAAAATAAAAATTGGAATAAAATTCTATAATTTTACCTTTATATTCTCTAGATGGAAACCAACTTGAAGCAGAAGTGCAAATAAAGAAATCATGATGGAAATCTCCAAGGATTTGAGTATGGTCAAAATTCAGTAAGACAAATATATATAAAAAAAGAAAAAGAAAACAATATTTTGGAAAATTTGTACAAATATAAAAAAAATTTATAATATAAAAAATATATAATTATATAATTTATATTATTAAATAAAATATAATGATATATTATGTGATATATATTATTAACATATAATATAATATATGTTACTAATAATATAACAATATAACATATTATATAATAATATAATATTAATCACAATAAATATAATATTGTATAATATAGTAACGATAATTAAGTATAAACATATGTTACTATAGTAAATATATGATATTGACTGATATATGGATATATAATATAACTTCTAAACATAGTAACATGTGTTATATAACAATATAATATTAATAACATATATGATATATGAAGTATAACATTGTAACAATATAACTTATGTTATAAAAATAATATTAATAACATGTATTATATGTTATATTAATAATATATAATCATCATAATATGTCACTATGGTGTTCTAATAATATAATTTATCATTATATATTTGATATAACATTTAGTATATAAGTATAATATAGTAACATCAATATAATATAATGTAATTACTATGTTAATATATATATAATGCTAGAATATAATATAAAACATACATAGTAATGTATTATAAATTAGTATTATATATATTTATATATTATAAATTTTCTTTTATATTTGTACAAATTTTCCCAAATATTGTTTGCCTTTTCATTTTTTTATATCTTTGTCTTACTGAATTTTGACCATACTCAAATCCTATGCTATATATAATTATGAATTAGATATAATATATATTATGTATAATATGTATTACACATAATACATAATATATTATATAATTATATAGTATAATTAACAAGCAACAAGAAAAAGACTAATCATTCCATAAAGCTATTATGATATGAAAAGGACTATGAATGCTTAAAAATATATGAAAAATATTCAACAACACAAAGAAATGCAAATTAAAGCAAAATATTAGTTTTCATCCATTTTATGAACGAACTTTTTCTAGTAATTGCCTTATTTTAAGTGTTACGCATAGTAGGGTGGGGTTGAGGGGGAATGAAGAATTAGATATAATCTCAAACTACTGGTAGTCATTTAAATTGAAATAATTTTGCTGATTATCAGTTTTAAACTCATAGTTACACTTTCAAAAATTTATTATATGAAAGTATGTTGAAGCACAACAAAGATTTATAAATAAGAAAATTCATTGTAATGTCACCTAAAGCAACAAATCACTGTAAATAACTCAAATGCCAAAGACTAGGGAAAGGACAAATAGATTTTAGCACATATGTACATTTGTGAAATATTGTAGTCATTTAAAGTTATATTTTAAATAGGCAAAATAATGGGAAAACAATCACAAAACAACATTAACTTTATAAAAGTGGAGCATAGAACTCAATATTCAGAAGATTTGCAATTCAACAAAAATAATATATATGCAAAAAATATACTAAATATTGGTAAAGCCTCATATTCAAAGATGTTAGTAAAGATTTTTAAAACTTCTTCTCTTTAAACTTTTCTATATTTTAAATTTTTTACAATAAATAGCCATTGTTTTAATATCAGAAAATATTTATCAGAACAATTTTAATATCAGAAAAATTATTTCCCTATAAAGTGTTTGGTGGCAAATCATAGAAATAGATTAGCATCTAGAACATAGTAGCTATTTAATGATACTTACTGAGTAAATAATTAGCATTCCATACTAATTATTTTACATTTTATCATCGTTTTTGTTTCTCTACCCTTTGTTTCCTTGTATGTTTTTGTATCCTGATACCTTGTATTAATTATTCCATATTCTCCATTATTACTTTAACTACAGCTGCCCACGGTTTTGTCATCATTTCTGTAAATGATTGAATAGATGACAATAATATACTGACAAATTTTATGAATTCTTACTAGGATTACAAGGAAGATGGAATAAACGGTTGCAGTGAAATGCTCCAGGACTTCTAAATTGCTATCCTTTATAAAATAAAGTGATGAAAGAAATAATAATGAAGAGGTGTAGTTTCTTTTTTATGATCAATTAGAACTACTTTGCTTTGAGCTCAACTTTGATGAAAAGTTTAAGTGCCAGATTCAGATAGGTTATAGGAAGGCATTTACTGTTCTTCTTACCTATCTTTTATTTAAAAATGGCAGAAAAATCAGACTTCTTGGCTTTGAATACAATAGATTAAACATATCCATAAAAGTAAGTTCCCTACCTGTGGCCAAAATATAAAGCAATTTAGACAAAATAATTTTTAAGTGTTGCTTAGAAATTTCCTTAAGTGTCTTCAATAAAATCATGGATAAAACATGAACATGGAGTTTGCTGCCCATAAGAAATATTTATCAAGTATTTTCTGCCCCACTTACCAAACACAGATAATTGATTTCAGTACAGATGTGGTTCTTGGCATGGCCCAAACTGCAAATCCTTAATTATGTAGGAAAGTCAAGCCTGAAAAATAAAACAAAGAAACATGTACAAAATGGTAACAATTGGTGTATTTTATTTTATCAGAAAAGAAGCAAGCTTACAAATTGATCCATGTAACATTTCCTTATAAATATGGAAAGAGTAAAATCATTGCCTTTAGTTTTTCCTTTAGCTGTTCAAGTCTGAATCTGACAGATGTGGATTAAATGTGTCTATTCTGTTTACAAAAAACAGACTTTTTAAATTGCTAGCATATACCAATAGATATTCATAACATTACCATTCCATCACAGTACATCATGATATTTCTTTTAACTGTCATTTGCATCTTGATGTACTCTTTAGAATTTTTTTCATCTGTACTGATACTATTTTAGTAATGGAATATTCTCTACTGGTTTTAAACTCGATACTTACTAAATTAATTCCCAATTGTCTTCATAAATATTGCAGAGTATTCGAGGGTTGCAGACCACATAAGCTATAAAATATTATTGGGATTATCTGGTGAAATATCTACTCTTTATGATATTTTACAGAATTATTTAAAGTCACTTAATGCTTCCTGGTGGCATCTTTATAGAGGATTGCCACTTTAAAAGGAATTTAAAAATATAGAAAAAACAGGAATATTTTAATTTTTTGTGGTAGGCACCAAATACAAAGATGACTTACAGCTATTTCTCAAGGAATATATCAAAGTGTGTTCAACTTTCATCCCTTAATATATACTCTTAAGATAAAAATCTCATAATATTATATAAAACTTCTCTGTTATTCAAAGAAGGAAGTGTAATCGTGTGTGTGTGGAGGGATGGAGGTTATAAAGATTGAGATTGAGAGAAATAGAGAAATAGAAAACAGAAAAAAATAAAAAGAGAAAAATGTAAAAGAAATCAAATGAAAAAGTAAAATGTTGCATCCACTTAATGTTTGCAGGAATACTAAAGTCAAAGTATACTGAACCAAAAACGATATTTCATTGTCTCTAATTCATCTGTAAGGTGTATTTTATTGATATCACTTGACAGAAGTCAGTTTATCATCAAATTACCCAAGCACTAACCAAAAATAACTTTTTATCCTGTCTTAATTTCAAAATTCTACAGGTATCATTTGACTTGAGCCCTTCTAGAGCACAGAAACATGTATTCCCCATGTTGTTAAAAAAAGAGAAGATTCAGTGTGAATCGAAAAGAAAACAAATGTAAAAAGGAGGGCAAAGAATGTCAAATGTACAGCTTGCCACTGTTGTTAGGCCTATTTTTCTTCCACTGTGTCAGTGACCCAGGTGCTTGCCACTGTCAAGTAGAATGGTCTGAGTGACACCTGTTTTCCCAGATCCCTCGACCCTTACTCAGCCGGTACTTCTGATAAGTCTTCATGAAATGCACAGAAATGGAGTCAAGAAAATGGGCAGTTGCCAGGGGAATTTTGCCACACTTTTGACTAACCACTTGTATATTCTTTCTTACCTTATTTATAATGAAGAGAAAAGCATTTTAAAATTGAAAAGCAGTATTGATTAGTCTAAAAAGCTTTGAATTGTGTTTCAAAATATCACAGCTTTATTCACCATCACACGTAAGCAATGTGACTTTGTGATGTATTTGAGCCTTTCTGAAAAAAACATTCAGGCTTTTTAACCTCAATTTTAATACATATCTCAGGAGGAAACAGCAAACCAGTTTTTTTCTCACAGGTTTTACAGATCTGCATAAAAATTTTAAAGTTCAATGAAATAGAAATTTACTGAACTCTATTCAAAGGAAGTGAAAGAATAAATGTCCCTTCCTAAGTTGAAACATATATGAAATATGGAGATGTTGTCACTTAGTCATTTGAGCTGCTCCAAACATTTTATTTATTTTTTCCAGATTCATCTTTGCAAAAGCCAACCAAGCTGTGTTGCGCAATATGGGTTTAGTTTTTATGATGGCTAAACTATAAGACAACATACTAGTTTGGTTATTTTGGTCATGTAGATATGGATTTAAGGTTTGCACATGGTCTATATGGTTATATGACATTATTTAATTGTGTAATTTGTGTTTAAAAAATGGCTTCTCTCCCAGCTTTCCTGGGAGTAGTGGCTTGAAAATAAATCACAATATTTTTATGTTAAGCAACTGCCCCAAAACTATAAATAAAATGAATTGGAAATGGTGAAATTGGAAAATGTCATAAAGAAATCAAAAGCCTTTCAAAGGTTAATGTGCTAGCAGCAATATGGTAAGAAAAAAATTTTTCCAGCTCCCTATCATTGCCACAAGGTAAAGAGCTGCCCCCCACATTTAAGGGCAGAAATCAGAAGGAGAACAGGTTGGAAGACAGAGGCCAGCATTGGGGCAGTCTCTGGCCACAGAGCCAGATCATAAGGCAGCATTTTCACCTGTATATTGAAGAGCAAGACCTGAAATGTGTTCACTAAGGCTCAAGACCAGCCCCTTTGGGCAAGGAGAAAGTTTGACTTGGAGAGATATGTGCAAAGAGGGATGAGTACAAAAAGGGATCACAGGCTTATGGCCGCATTGGGAAAATAAGCCAGTGAAGATTTATGCAGAGCACCAGGTAAAAAAGTGTGAACTCTTCCACCACAACCACCACCACAGAGAAGTTATGTGTTTTCACAGTATCTGCTGCTCAGTAATGCCAGAATGGCAGCCAAATTACAAAAAGAGGAGAAAGAAGGCAGTGGTGGCAAAACATAGCAGCAGAAGTCACAATCAAGGCAAAAAGCCTTAAATTTAGAAACTGGACTGAAAGAAATGTAGAGGGATCAGAAGCACTCTAAAACCAAGATGCTCTGAGAGATAGGACCACCATGAGGTTATATTGAAGAAAGGAAAAAAACAAAGACAAAAGGCCAGTGTTTTGCCTCTAATTGATCATACCAATATATTAATACTATTAAAAGTAATAGTTAAAAATGAACCATAACTTTCTAAAACACATTTAATTATTTTAAAATATGCCTTAGTTAACTTTCCGAATCCGATATACAATATATTGTTTTGCCTTTTTTTCCAAGGTAAAAGCTTTTGACAACTAAATGAAGTGCCTTTAACATTTTTAATGTGTTTGTCATAGACATTCTAGTTCTGGGAATTTATCTTAAGGTTAATCACAAAATACAAAGATGGTGGTAGAAAGATGTTCTTCACAATATTATTTATGACTCATTCATTCATTCAACAAAATTTTGGAGAACTTTCAGTGGGCCAGGCACTGTGTCTGCTGTTAGAAAAAAAATTTCTAAATGACATTAAAAGAGTGATATTTAATGATGGTGCAGGCATATAATAAGCTATTATGCAGTTATTAAAATGATGTTTATGGAATGTTTAATGACTTGGGAAAATGCTAATGATTTAATATTGAGTGAAAATGTACTTACAAAATAGCACTTACCATATTATCTTAGACATGTAAAAATCGCATTAAAAATGAAAAAATACTCCAAAATATGAACAGTAATTGCCGTTAGGTGGTAGAATGATGGATGCTCTCTTCTCCTGCATTGCTTTTTACAAGTAGCATGTATTAATTTAACTATCATTAACAAACACTCAAATTTTGGTAAACTAGAAATATCAGAACCTGACCCAGTGGACCAACTGATCAGAATTTTACTCTCCAGGTGTAAGGACTTGATTGAGTCTGACAGAATGCAAGATATTCCAACAGCTTTTATATTTATGCTTCCCTGGAAGGAAAAATGCTTGATTTTGTGGATTGCTTGTAACCTTGCTTCACTTTCTTAAAATGTTTTCTATGCCTAAGAATGGCAAGCAGACATGTTTAAGATTTTTTTGTTAATAATCAAAGGCAGGCTTGATGTTTCTTCTTATACTAACCCTTTTTACTCGCTTGCTTTTTTCTTATCATCCACTCGACATTATCCACACTCGACATCTGACTGCAAAGGGTTAATTTTACTGATATGTAGGATACATACAATAAAATTCACCCATTTTAAGTGTACAGTTTGATGAATTCTGACAAATATATACACTAATACAACCACTATTCCAATAAAAATGCAGAATGTCTCCATGATCCCCAAAAGATCCCTTTGTTGTGCTGCTTTGCAGGTAATCCTTAGCCTTATTTCTGGTACCAAACAGCTACGGACCTGCTTTCTGCCACTACAAATTAGATTTTCCTTCTAGAATTTCACATAAATGAAATATTATACTATATACTCTTTTTTTTGTAAATAATTTATTTAATTCATCTTAAAGTTTTTAAGACCTATCCACATTGTTGCATGTATCAGTATGGGATGCCATTATATATACTTTAGAATGGTTAAACATTAAGATTTATGATATCAAGCATCAGAGGAAGCAAAGGAAATGAAACTATATTGCCAATGGGAATATAAGATGGTTTAGACACTTTAGAAAACAATTTGGAATTTCTATAAAGATAAACACTTGCCATATAACCCAGCAATTCTATACCTAGGTATTTATTTAAGAGAAATGAAAATATATGTCCACCAAAAGATATGTACCCAAATAATAATGGCAGCTGAATTAGAAACACAGTCATGGCTAGAAACAACTTAATGGCTATCAACAAGTTAAAGGATAAAGAAATTATTGTATATATTATATACGTACAATGGCATAGTTCTCAACAATAAAATGTCGTTTTTAAGTGTAATTTTTTAAAAGCTAGTTTAATAAAATGTATTATCCTGAGAAAAAGGCTTTAACAATGAGAATCCTATAGATTCATTACTATTTTGTACATATTGTTACTCAGTAAAATTTTTTTTTAAATTATTCATTTTAAATAAGCCCCAATCAGGGTTTAAATTAATGAATTCAGTTCACATTTCAAAAACACATTTGTCTATTATTCATTTTTAAGATGAATAAAAAATTTTATGACATTTGTAATGTAATTCAGGGAAGGTATTAAACTTGTTAATCCATCAAGAAACTGAAAAAAATAGTTATTACACAAAAACTCAGATGTTTTAAAATAAGTTCCAAACTCCTACTGTGTAG